GCAAGTGGCATTTCCAACTGAACATGCCCAAGAATGGCCCCGCACCTGTTCTGGTCTCTTGATCATTCGTCATTTATAACTTCCTTGATGCGGATGATTTAACCAGTGCTTGAAATTTACAGAACGGGACCTCTCTCTCTAAGGAGCTTTCTAAGTTTGCTAGCAAGAAGGAGCTCAAGTACTCATGGCGCTGGATTCCTGTCCTGAGAACATCGCGAGTCTCAGTTGCTCAGAGTCCTCCTTCCCCTCATCCACATCCCCATCTCCCGCTGGGAAAGAGGCACCCGTCCATTTTCGCCTGCAGATGGTCAGGGTTGGCTGGGAAGGGAATGTTCTGGCAAACATGTACCGAGCCTTCCCAGCCACTAGCATCTGGGCTGACTTCTCGACTTATCACGTGACTCTGAGACGTTCTCACTGAGTCCACAGAGGCCTCGATCGCTGTCTCTCTCTTTCCGTAGGTGATTCGTTTGGAGAAAATCACGAGTGAGATGGGTCCAGCCTCCCAGGCTAATGTTCGTCTCACGTCTCTTAAAAAGACCCTGGCCACCACTCTGTCACCCCGCGTCCTGCTGCCAGCCATCAACAAAACCTACAAGCACGTCCAGAAGGACTGGAGGGTGAGATCTGTTGGGGATTAGACTTTGGGGAGGGGAGCTAAGATGCTGACATGTTTACCTTCATAATGAACTTGGAACGTGAAACACTGGCCCCTCTCTCCGCTGTGTTCTCGGTAGAATCACATGGGCCCGTTTATGAGCATCTTGCAAGAGCACATCGCGGTCATGAAGAAGGAGGAGCTCACCTCCCATCAGTCTCAGCTCACCACGTTTTTCCTGGAGGCCCTGGACTTCCGAGCCAAGCACCCCGAGGTCAGCTGGCAGCCGCTCCCCCAATCCCGAACTCACCTGCTGACAGCCAGCCGAAAGCTGGCTGTGACCTGTTCTACAGGCCACAAGCATGCAAAGCTGGCTGCCAGGCCTCTGCCCAGTAAAACGGCTCTTTTGTTTTCAGAATGATCTGGAAGAAGTTGGACAAACAGAAAGTCATATCATTGACTGCCTGGTGGCTATGGTTGTAAAACTGTCTGAGGTCACGTTCAGACCTCTGTTTTTCAAGGTGAGCTTGCTTCCTCCCCGCCTGCTCTGTGCTTCTCTCAGTAACAAGATGTGTGAATAAACTCCCGTTTCTCTCTCTCTCTCCAGCTGTTCGATTGGGCCAAGACCGAGGACGCCCCCAAGGACAGACTGCTGACGTTTTACCACTTGGCGGATTGCATTGCCGCCAAACTGAAGGGGCTCTTCACGCTGTTCGCCGGCCACTTGGTGAAGCCTTTTGCCGACACCTTGAACCAGGTGAACATCTCCAAAACAGGTTGGTGGCTGACTCCAGTTCGTGGACTCCTTGCTCTGGGTGCCTTACACAAGGCTTGGGAAGTATAGAGAGTCTAAGGGGGTGGCTGTTCTTAACTGTAGCCGCTGTTCAGGCCCTAAAGAGTCTGCTTTCGCATCTGAAAATGGGTCATGAGTTAATGCAGTGGTCGGCAAACTCATCAGTCCACAGAGCCAAATATCAACAGTGTAACGATTGACATTTCTTTTGAGAGCCAAATTTTTTAAACTTAAACTTCTTCTAACACCACTTCTTCAACATAGACTCACCCAGGCCGTGGTATTTTGTGGAAGAGCCACATTCAAGGGGCCAAAGAGCCGCATGTGGCTCGTGACCCGTGGTTTGCCGACCACTGAGTTAACGGAAAGGAGGGATCACTTTAACCGAGAGCCCATCCACACTGTTCCACCCTCATCCTGAGCTTGCTTTCTAGGTGGAGGGGGACATACCCTCTTGATTGTAGTTTTGTCAATAGTGATTTGAATGTAAACATTGGAGATTAAATTGTGGCATGGTTTTCACTTTTACTCTCCCCCCTCTTACAGATGAAGCGTTTTTTGACTCTGAAAACGACCCTGATAAGTGCTGCTTGCTCTTACAGTTTATCTTGAACTGTTTGCATAAGATCTTCCTTTTCGACACCCAGCACTTTTTAAGTAAAGAGAGAGCAGAAGCCTTGATGATGCCTCTGGTGGACCAGGTAACCGAGTCAAACCACCTTTTCACTTATCATTTTTTGTGGCTTTAACTTATCTTCATTAGTTTACTGAGCTCTACTTTTGAATTTTTCACATGAAAAGCACAGTGTAAGGACTAATGCAGCAGTCGCCAACCGGTGATCCTCGGACCCCTGGTGGTCCATGAGGTCCGAAAGGCTGGGGACCGCTGGTCCAGTGGTTAAGTTTCTAACTTGTTAGAACTGGTTTCATTGAGAATGTTGGGGTGCGGCCGTCCTCTGGCTCGGAGAGTCTCTGGAGGGAGGGGTGCTGAGGCTGAGGTCTGTGAGCTCCTGAAGGCGGCCCGCTACCTAGGACCGTGTCAGAACAGCTCCCGGTTTGAGCCTGTCACGGAGGACAGAGGAATAGTATTTACACGTTGGGTATTTTTTCAAACGGAATGCGCCCTGTTGCTCAAAGCCCTTTTCTCACTCCGCAGCTGGAGAACCGGCTGGGAGGAGAAGAGAGGTTCCAGGAGCGGGTGACGCAGCACCTGGTGCCCTGCATCTCCCAGTTCTCGGTGGCCATGGCCGATGACTCCCTCTGGAAGCCCCTCAACTACCAGATCCTGCTCAAGACCAGAGACTCCTCGCCCAAGGTCAGGAGCCACGGTGGCGGCACCGGTGCCCTGGGTTCTCACCACGTAGGCCTAACAGCTATCGCGCAGTCATGGCTGTGCAACCATGGTAACTGGCCAGACAAACACGGCTGCTCGTCTGCTAGCACCAGCAGCAGGCTGTGCCGGATAGAAGTTTGTGCCTGCGTTTCTGGATTTTACTTCTGGGTTATTCATAAAGAACAGCAGTCCTCCCCTGACTCCTATAGTATGTGTGGGTGGCTCAAATACTTCTAAATACTTTTGCACTTTTATTTATTTTTTAAAATATATATATTTTTACAGAGCGGAAGGGAGAGGGATAGAGAGCTAGAAACATTGATGAGAGAGAAACATGGACCAGCTGCCTCCTGCACACACCCTCCTAGGGATGTGCCCACAATCAATGTACATGCCCTTGACCGGAATCAAATTTGGGACCTTTCAGTCCGCAGACCAATGCTCTAGCCACCGAGCCAGACCGGTTTCGGCACTCTTGCACTTTTAAATCTTGAGAAGACATGAAGTGATCCCTTGTGGTTTTTAATTTAAACGCCTCTTCAGTTTCTCTGCTCACAGAGGCCAGTGCTTTGAGCTTGTCCACAGACTTTCCTCTGGGTGAGAGAATCTCAGGCTGAGGGGTCTGTGGGATGCTGGAAGGCAGGTGTAGCTGGGTGACACCCACAGACATGGGGGCCGAAGTGCTAGAACACAGTTCAGGATGCCTGGATCCCAAACAGATCCCCAACTGTCCCGTCCCCTGGCATCCTGAGGTGGGAGTCGGATGGACATAAAGTGAAATAAACTCATGTTAAAGAGCATTTCGCTTTGAAGATTCTAGTTTTCGCCAACCTTTGCCCTTGGCTCCTCCCTCCAGGTTCGGTTTGCTGCCCTCATCACCGTGCTCGCGCTGGCGGAGACGCTGAAGGAGAATTACATCGTCTTGCTGCCGGAATCCATCCCTTTCTTAGCGGAATTGATGGAAGGTAATTTCCAGTGAACACGCCAATATGGGTGCAGGGGACCCGGGAGGCGGGGTTCCTATGCTGAGTGCGGTGGCGGGAAGAGATTAGGAAATGGCCTTTCCTTTGCCTTCCCCTCACACACGTGTTTGGCTGCAGCTGGAGGCTATTGGATCACGACGGGTAGGCACTGAGACAGCCTGTGACAGCTTCCTGTTCACAGTGACCAGCTCTACCCCGTGCTGGGCATGGTCCTCATTGTCCCCGGGATCCTGTAAGCCAATGCAGTGCCCGTTTCACAAAGGAAAGAACTAGAAGCTTTAGGGGATTAGGTAACTCGGCAAACTAACAAAGCATGTATGACGGAGCTGGGGTGGGAGCCAGGTGTGCGGTGTGGACACTGGGCCCGGGAAGCTCCAGGCACAGCGCAGCCCAGGGAATGACAGTGGGGCTCCCCGTAAGCAGGGGACGGAGACGAGGAGGCCACACGTTCACGTTCGTGTTGCACTGCTCATCTCCACAGAGGTCGTGCACCTGGTTCCGACGGCCTGGAGCGCAGCTCCGCCAGGAATCGGGAATTTTCTTCTGGGGCCTCTATTGGGCTCCGTCTTCCAAGCCTGAGGCCCCTGGCAGGGAGGAAGGTGCCTCCCAGGCGCCTCCCTTCGATGCCTCCCTGTCTGGGGGCCGGGGGCCAGAGCCGGGACGCGCCCGGATGAGGTGGGGGGACGGGAGCTGACCCGTGTCCTTGCATTTGCAGACGAGTGTGAGGAGGTGGAGCACCAGTGCCAGCGGACGGTGCAGCGGCTGGAGGCCGTGCTGGGGGAGCCGCTGCAGAGCTACTTCTAACTGCGGCGGGGTTCACACTCTGGTCCGAGTTCGGATTTATGTTTTATATTTTTACTTGGGTGTTTGGTGCCATGTTAGTTTTGGTGCCTTAACACCAACGGGGACTTGACAAGGGTCTTCCCTCGTTTGTACTGCATCCAAGCCCTCCCGCCATCTGTACAGATTCGCAGAGTAAAGGACACGTGTGGTTTGGTAACGGCGGCTGTGTTGTTTCAGCGTTTACTGGTCACTCCTGACCGAGGTTCCTGGTACAGACAGGTCTGGTCCTCGTGCCCCAGCTGGCAGTACCCGCTGGACTGCAAGCGCAAACCTTAGCGTTTCTATAAAGGAATGTCTTAGCCCGTGGTGGCCAGGTCAGATTTCCCTCAGAGCAATCCATTTTCTTCAAGAAAGTGCGTTATTCCGCTTTCAGCAGGAACACTTTGGACTGTAAAGCCATTTGGACTTTACTTTCATTTTGGGTAGATAACACTTCAGCCTTGACTTGTGTGTGTGCCCATAGAGGGCAGTCGTTGTAGAATGTACTTTCCACTCAGGACAACGATCCATCTCCTTTATCATTCGGCCTTTGGTGGGGGGTGGCGGCTACAGGCTGTTTATGAAACAGCTACACCTGGCAAACCCACCAGCTGGAAGCCACTCCCCCTTCCCTTCCCGATCCCCTTTCCCAGGGAGTAGGAGGCCCCGTTTCCCACAGGTGGTGACCAAGAGTCACTTGTATGAGAAAGAACCGGATTTTTTTTTTAATGTGATGTCACAGTGACAGAGTTGTCACAAGCAAAAGGCTGACATGCTGTAAAGATATTCTCTTTAAGAAAAGTCTTACACTCAGTCATAAATGCTAATAGCTTCATTTCAAAACATCTAAATATTTTGTATCCTGTCAAAGAATCAGTCCTTTGTTTCACAATCTCCATGTAAAATGAAAATGAACTATTGGACTTAGAGCAAAATCTCAGTCATGCAATCTTTGAGGAAGAACAAAATAACCCTGAGATTCTAGAGCCTTCTTGCCCGCACGCCCCCACCAATGTTTTGTTTTGTTTTTTAATTTATTTTGAGTTTGGCAAAACTCGGCATAATAAATAGGAAAATGTTGGAAAGAATGCTAGAAGTTTCTACATTGTAGTATTCTTTTTGGTATAAGGGTGTTAAAAAAAATAACGAGTATCTGTTATGAAAATACTCCTAAATCCTGGCAGAATCCAGCTCAGCAGTTTTTACCTCCCCGCTCCCGAGCCTTTTAAATTTCCTGTAACAAGACCTGGCATGTGAGAATTCTGCAGAGGATTCTGCCAACTCGTTTCAAAGAATAACAGAAAAAATTACAGAAATGCAACACTTGAACTTGCTGATACAGGTTTGATTTAATCGCTTAGGTAGAACAATGTTTTGATCTCGGCCTAATGACGGACTCATCTTTGGAAAAGCAGAGGCAATGCCACTTGGCATGCGGACAACCAGCAGGCGTTTATTGCCCCTCTACTTTGGTCTCTTGCTGTAGCTCACTTTCTGGTAGGGCCTGTTTGATAAACATTAAATCATTCTTGACTACACTTTGTTACCCAGAAACACCTGCCAATTAATTGAATTCCGCTCACTTCTACCTTAAACTCTCTGTACAGGTATGTGCAGATCTTTCTCTCACCCTAAATTCATAAAAAAATATACCCACTCACTGGTACAGATGTATTCTGATTGACATCAAGTGAATTTCAACACCGTTCATTTTTTGTTGGTTTTGCTTCGTTTTGTTGCCTTAATCTCTGTGCTGTGTCCATGTCCTAGTGTTAATGATCTGGTAGCGCTTACAGTCAGGTGTTTATTGTGTTAAAGGGAACTGCCAGGTGTCAATCGGTATCAACTCCCTAGCTGCGGGGATGAGAGAAGGCTCTTTAAGAATGTGGTCCCTGGGGCTGTGGTAGTGTCTCCTACAAATTAATGTCTTAGGTGGTTTACTAGCTGAGTCATCAAAGGCCCTGGTGGGTGTATCTGACCTGCAGAGGCACCAGGGCTGACATAGCAGAGCCTAAGGAACATGGCAGTGGGCACCACTGGGCATCCATCCCAGCTCCCAGCACATGGCCCGCAAAGGCAGCACTTGATGCATTTGCTGCTGCTGAGAGCAGGCCCCTCACCAGTGCCTGGTGACCGAAGCGGGTTACAAACAAGAGGCTGGGTGGGTGGAGGGGGGAGGGGGGGGAGCAGGGAGCCTGAATAACACATAGGCTGCTGCCGCCTCTAACTTCCTCCTGCGCTAGAAGCCACCTGCGCGACAGGTCAGAACACTGGGACTAAACGCTGCGGAAGCTCATCCTATCTATGTACACAGGTAGTGTGGTCGTGCGATGCATTGTCACGAGGCCAGTGTCACGTGAGCCATCTGTATTTCAGTTTTTGTGGTGGCGTCAGCTACCAGCTCCTCACTTCCAGCAGCTGGATGTCTCCATCGATCTCCAGGGTGTCGATACTGGGCAGCTCCTTAAACCTGTGCTTGTACTCCAGGCTGTGGACGCCGTTCACCGCCACCTTGAACTCCTTCACGTCGCAATAAATGATCATCTGAAAGGAAGGGACGCGCCACATTAGTGCCTCCCCCGGTTTAAAAACTTTCGTTTCTTGAACAAACAGGACTCACTTCCTGGAAGAAAGGACTGCCCCAAAGCTGTGAGTAACCACAGGGGTGATGGCCGTGCAGGCAGTTTCACGGCCCCCATGTCCTCATGTGCACTGGGCATTAAACATGTTACCCCAGGACCGAGACACAGTTCCTGCCAAAAGTCCTATTGACTAACGGGGCTGTTATGTCCAATAATTCCATTCTACTGCGTTTGCCATTTGTGCTGACTGTCCATGTTATAAACAGGACTGAAAATACAATCTCAAAATAAAACACACACACACCTCCACAGGAGGGCTTGGTCTGCACAGACCATATGTCTTACCCCTGCAATCTTACCTCAAAGTACATCCCAGGACTGAACGGAAAACAGGTAATGTTTCTCTCCTCTTCTCCCCAGGACTCCTGAAGGAAGGAATTCCTTACAAATGCTTTACTGTTCAGGCGTGGGTTCAGGTGGAGAGCAATATCCTTGGATTTTCCTGATATCAGGTCCACATTAAAGCTTTCAAGACAAAAGAAAAAGAAAATTTTTTTCAACCGAAAAATTGCACGTTCTGAAATTTAACAATCAGAACTGAACCGTGGTGATAACCACAAAATACAAGTATGCATACGGACATAGGAACACAAAAAGGTGAAATGAAACTTGAAATTCCAAGTTAGCATTCCGGAGACATAAATATGTTGTTTGTAAAAGAAAGATTAAAAAAAAAAAGTTTAAAATCAACATAGAGGGTAGGATCTGGTTGGGTTTAGAAGGATCAGCTGAGTGATTTCTCCAGCTGCGGTGGGGGGCAGCGTCCTATCAAGAAGGGATTCTCCTCACTTGTATGTGTTGTGTTCTTGGAGGTGTACTGTCTAGGAAAGATCTCTCATTCCAAGCTTCCAGATCTGAATATCTCTGGAGGAGCCCGTAAAGCAGACATTTCACAAGTTACGTGACAATAGGGGCCCTAACAAGAGCTTCAGGACCTCAGAGCTGCCCTGGATTTCACCAGGGGAGGAGGGGATTCAGTCCTGGTTCAGCCACCTAGTGAGCAGCCTGGCTTCCTCTTTATCAGCCTCACCTTCCAGATGAGGACTGGGACCCGAGCGCTACTGGGATCTCACAGGACAGACGCGTGGTGCACGCCAAGAGGAGACACGTGGAAGAGGGCTGCACTATTACTGTTAACTCGGTGATACCCACCCTTTGGCCTTCGCGTTCACTTCTCCTTTAATGACGACGGTCCGCCCGGGGCCCATGGAGGTGTTCAACCTCGCCACGAAAGGCAGAGTCTGAAAAGAGACCACAGTCGGCACCAGGAAGCCTGCAGGAGGCCAGCTTGTGGGAAAGCTGTCCAAACACCGAAGTGTCCGAAGGCTGAGGCTGTCCACCCCGTGGAGGGCCAGCCTGGGTCCCCAGCAGGGAGGGGATCACTAATGGCTCTTGGGGGCCTGAGGCCTGAGCTGACCAGGGACTGGCTGCTCTGGGCTCCTGAAGGTAGAGGTGCCACTTATCAGCAAACTAAGACTCCCCTTGTCCTACAGGAGGAAAAATGGGGGCTCTTCAAACCTTTGACAAACAGTTGATAGGTAGTATTTTGGCGCAAGTCAAAGTGTGATGGGCAGCCGGACCTTTGCTCTTGGTGTAGACAGTTCTGGGTGCGATTTTACCAGTGTCGCCTCTATTACTAGGCTGTGGGGAGACAGGTGTGCAGTGAGGGATGGGATGAATGGCGCTGTCTTCCAATGTTTAAACCACTCGCTCCCTGGGCAGCTTTCTAGAATGTTCTACGTATTCCAACAGGCAGAAATACTTACAAATTGTGACATGCCGGCGTTTGGTACCTACGGAGAGAGAGAGACAGACAGAATGAGGACGCCTGAAAGGGGAGAGCCCAGCACTGTGTACGTAACAGCAGTAACTGGATCTCACTGGTGTCCCAAGCCAGCCCGGCTGGGACCAGTGCCTGCTCCGCCATGAGACCGATACCCAGGCAACAAGAGCCCCATGGCGGTGTGGTCCGGAGTCAGGGCTACGCGGGCTGGAAGGTCAAGCTGAATCCTGTATCCCCCGTTTTAAACTGGTGGTTCATGGAAAGATCTGACACTCACATCTTCTCCATTCAGAACGGCCACCTCCAGAGTGGGTGCCTGGGCACTCCGTAAGTCCTGGGGAAAAGAGAAGAGGGATCTTTACCATCCGTCCGGCTCCCAGTGACATAACAGAAAGAACCACAGCCCAGCCAGGGGGCCTCAGGAGCTGAGCGGCGACCCGGGCACCGAGAGTTTGCAGGTTTGATTCCCGGTCAGGGCACATGCCAGGGCTGTGGACTCGATTCCTGGCAGGGGGCATGCAGGAGGCAGTGAATCAATAAAAAAGTTTCTATCTCCCTCTCCCTCCCTCTCTCAAATCAATACATTTTTAAAAAATTTTATTTTATTTTTTCAACATATATTTTTATCGGTGTTTTACAGAGAGGAAGGGAGAGGGAGAGTTAGAAACATCGATGAGAGAGAAGCATCGATCAGCTGCTTCCTGCACACCCCGTACTGGGGATGTGCCCGCAACCAAGGTCCATGCCCTTGACCGGAATCGAATCTGGGGCCCTTCAGTCCGCAGGCTCTATCCACTGAGCCAAACCGGTTAGGGCCACTTTTTTTTTTTTATGCTTGAGAACTCCGCTTTAGTCTTTTTGGAGGGCAAGTTAGCACTTTCAACCAGAACTTAGAATGCAGACACCCCCTGGCGCAGGCAGCAACCTCTCAACCCCCGTCCTCCTGGATTGAGGGAACAGCCCAGCGGCTAAAGGGCTTCTGGCTGGAACTGCCCTCGATTGGGGTCTGCAGACAGAGGATTGGGGGTCCGGGCGGTAACTGGAGGGGTTTCCTTCCGTTTCACCGCGGAGGGAGGGCGCTCACCGAGCTGAAGCTGAAGCCGACCGAATGGATGCGCACTTTGCCCGAGATGCCCAGCGTGTCGATCTTCTCGGGGCTGACCCTGTGCGCGTACAGCAGCGTGTGCTTCCCGTTGACGGCCACCTGGTGGGCACAGCAAAACCAGTTAACAGACCCGCCATCTGGAGACTCGGGTTGGATTTCCAGTTTACCCCTCTGCCCGCTCAACCTGCCCAGACTGACGGGCAGCATCAGCCACCCGCAGGGTCTCATGAACGCCTAATGTCTGTCCTTCTCTGCACACCAGTCACACACGCGTGCACATACGTTTCCCTGGGAGGAGAAACACGATCGGGAAGGAGCTGTGACTCCCGCCTCTCCGAGGGCCACAGCCAGACTCTCTGATGGAGAACCGCGAGGGTGAAAGCGCCCTGCGCACGCTCACGAGTGAGGTCCGAGGCTCGGCCCCCGCACGCCACCTGGAACTTGTCCTTGAGCACCATCATGACGATCTCGAAGGACTTCTCCTTCCCGAAGGGCATGTCGTAGGTGATCTCCTCCCGCCCCCACTTCTCGTTCTTGAGGGTGTTGCAGACGATGCAGTTGGTCCTCTTGAAGCGCGGGTTGAAGTGGAAGATGACGTCCGCCCGGGGGTTCACGCTGCTGCCGCTCTGCAGGTCCACCTGGAACCTGGGGGGAGACGGCCCCTGAGCTGAGCACGGGGCAGGGGGCTGCGGGGTGGGGGCCACAGCAGGGGACACACGCCAGACCCCTCCTCCAGCCGCCTTCGCTTCTTCCTTAGTAACAGTCCCCGGGGCCGAGGCCGGGGCCCCGTCTGTCCGGAGGGAGCCTCCATTCTCCGGCCTCCCTCGTCCATCCCTGCAAACAGCACGTGCTCCCACCCAGCCACCCCGCCCACACCGTGAGGCTGCAGTTCCAGCGCCAAGAACCATGGGAAAGAGGCCTTCGCTGGGGCAGCAGAGCGGACGCCGCGGAGGAGGCTGCTTCTCTAAGACTTGGCAGCAGCTGTCTCCTTCAGACCCGACTCTTTCCTGGAAGCCACTGTCAACATGGGCGGCAGCCACACTGACCGGAGCCCAACTCTAACAGATACGGACTCGTCCACAGTTTGTACCCAGCCCGTCCGATGAAAACGACCCAAACGGGCCTTAGGAGGGGCTGTGGGAGGGACCTGCAACTGGACTCTGTCCCTGTCGCCGGACCACAGTTCCCCTCACTAACCGTACATGCCATCTATACATATAAAAGCCTACGCGACCCTTCCACTGTTAGCTATGACACGCACTGACCACCAGGGGGCAGACGCTCAACGCACAGGCATGGAAACATGGAACAGACTGATGAATCTCAGAGGGATAGGGGGAGGGCGGGAAGAGATTAACCAAAGATCTTATATGCACACTAGAGGCCCGGTGCCCTCGACCCGGCCTGCAGGAATCGGGCTGAAACCGGCAGTCCGACATCCCCCAAGGGGTTCCAGATTGTGGGAGGGTGCAGGCCAGACGGAGGGACCCCGGTGGTGCACAAATCCGTGCACCAGGCCTCTTGTTCCTTATAATGAGATCAGACTTAGAGCAATAAAATAAAAAACCAAAATAACATCTATTTCAGTCACTCATCTCGGCATCTGGGCCAGGATGCTGACGGAGGCAAGGTCAGCCTCACGTACCCAACGTCTCTCCCACATTACGTTATTGCCACATGGAGACAGCTTCTCCATGTTCTCCTCCATCGGACGCCACGCGATCTTACCTGTCCGAGTCCCCGGGGACGTGCCCGCGGATCACGATCAGAGTTCCGGGATCCAGCTGCTCAGGGATGGTCCCCACGTAGGGGATTATCTGGGGAAAACGATTTGAACAAACGCGCTTTTAGGAACCCAGCATTTTCCACATGGCCCTCACGGCTTTCCAACAGCCACCCCGTCCATCACTGCAGCCCTGGGTGTGCTCTCAGTCCTGCCAAGGGCAGGAAGTGACGCCAGAGGACTCGGTTACCGGGTTGCAGATGGCATTCTGTAGGTTGTTCAAGGACAGCATCCTTCTCTTCCTCTTCAGTGTCGACTGCGGTCTCTCTTCTGTGTCCGAGCTCAGCTTTTAAGCAAGTTTCACTTAAAGGTTCCCTCGATTGAAACGGAGGCAGTTGCCCTGAGTAAGGTCAAAAGAGAGGGAAAGAAAATGCATCACCTTTTCTTTACGTCATAATTATCCTTAGAGGTAAATTATAAATTATTTCACTCATATTTGCCAAATAACGGGATGCTTTTGCAACCAAAGATCTCACCCCAATTCTCACCGAGTGCACTTCTATTGGCAGCAAAATCTCAGATATCCAGGTCTGAGGTGATACCTCATTGTCATTTTAATTTGCATCTCTCTGATGATCAGTGACTTTGAGCATTTTTTCATGTCTCTTGGCCATCTATCTGTATGTTCACTCTGGAGAAGTGTCTATTAGGTCCTTTGCCCATTTTTTAATTGCACTGTCTTCCTTTTGTTAAGTTGTATGGGTTCCTTATATATTTTGGATATTTACCCTTTATCAGATGTATCGTTGCCAAATATGTCCTCCCATCCAGTGGGCCTCCTTTGTCAAACATTGAGCGTAATGGCTTGGTAGATTTCTGAGATCTCCATTCTGACCCATGGATCTATTTATCTATTCTCATGCCAGTACCAAGCTGTCTCCATTGCAGTGGCTTTGTAGTGTAACTTGAGATCTGGTATTGTGATTCCTCCAACTTTGTTCTTCTTTCTCAGGATTGCTGTGGCTGTTGGGGGTCTTTTTCTTTTTTTTGTTCCATATAAATTTTTGGAGGATTTGTTCTAGATCTATGAACTATGCTGTTGGTATTTTAATGGGGATTGTACTGAATCTGCAGATTTGGGGAGTATGGCCATTTTAATGATGTGATTCTACCAATCCATGAACACGGTATATCCTTCCACTGGTTCTTATCTTCTTCTAATCTCTTTTTTCAGCGTCCAGTAGTTTTCCGAGTGCAAGTCTTTTACCTCCTTGGTTAGGTTTATTCCTAAGTAACTTAATTTTTGTTGTTGTTGCAATAGTAAATGGGCCCTAACCGGTCTGGCTCAATGGATAGAGCTCGGGCCTGAGGACTGAAGGGTCCCAGGTTGGATTCTGGTCAAGGGCATGTACCTTGGTCGCGGGCACATCCCCAGTGAGGGGTGTGCAGGAGGCAGCTGATCAATGATTCTCTCTCATTGATGTTTCTAACTCTATCCCTTTCCCTTCCTGTCTGTAAAAAAATCAATAAAATATAAAAACAACAACAACAAAACGCACCCACACACAGAATCAAAAGAGGAAGGAAACAAGTTTCCGGAGTCTGGCCCCGCCCAGAGCACCTGACCTGTCACAGGTCAACAGAGAAAGCCGCCTCCCACGGGTTAGGGCCGACACGGCATCCTGGTCCGGGTCCCCGACCAGGTCCCCGATCCCTGTCGCGGTCCCCGATCCCCGTCCCGGTCCCCGACCCCCGTCCCAGTCCCCGACCCCGTCCCTGTCCTGGTCCCCGATCCCCGTCCCTGTCCTGGTCCCCGATCCCGTCCCCGTCCCAGTCCCCGACCCCGTCCCTGTCCTGGTCCCCGATCCCCGTCCCTGTCCTGGTCCCCGATCCCCGTCCCTGTCCTGGTCCCCGATCCCCGTCCCTGTCCTGGTCCCCGATCCCGGTCCCCGACCCCCGACCCCGCGCGCCTCGCAGGCCCCCATCACGCGCGGCCGAGCGCCCCGGGAGGCGGAGGGTCCCCGGGTCTCCCCGGGCAGAGGCGGCGGAGGGGCCTCCGGATCCCGGGCGGGAGCGGGGCCAGGCCCGCCGCTCCCCCGGGCCCTCCCCGCGCCCCCCGCGCAGGCGGCGCACTCACCGGCGGCGGCTCGGTGCTCCGGCGGAGGAAGCGTCGGCGGGTCCGTCCGCTTTCGGTTCCGCTCGGCGGTTCCGGTTCCGCTGGGCCCTGCGGCTGCGGACGGCCCGGCGCTCAGTCCGCCGCTGGGGGTGGGGATGGGGCGGAGTCTGGGGTCACCCCGCCCCGGAGACGGGGCGCTGCACTGGGAGCAGCGCTGGCCGGTGCCTCCAGGAGGAGGTGCAGATGCAGGTGCAGATGGAGGTGAAGATGGAGGTGAAGATGGAGAAGGAGGTGCAGGTGGAGGTGAAGATGGAGATGGAGCTGCAGGTGCAGGTGAAGATGGAGGTGCAGGTGCAGGTGAGTGAGGGGAAGGGCGGATGCAGATTTGGGGGAAGAACGTGCTGGGCCGCGGGAGCCCGTTGTGCAAAGAGCCTGAGGCTCCTGACGAGGGAGAGGCTGCTGCTGGGCTGGGAACCTGGAGGGAGGAAGCCCTGGGTCCGAGGGGTCACGGGGACAGAAATCACTGGACCACGGAGCCAGGACAGAAGCCACTGCTGGACCACAGAGCCAGGACAGAAGGCACTGGACACTGAGCCAGGACAGAAGCCATGGACCACTGAGCCACTGGACCACTGAGCCAGGACAAGCCAAGCAGAGAACCAGGAGGCTGAGCAGGGCGGCCCGGAGCCCTGCCCAGAGGTGTCCGGAGACAAAGAAGGAAAGTCTAGAGAAGGAACCGCCAGTCGTGACAAATGCTGCTGAGAAGCCAAGGACCAGAGGAGCAGCCGACGGCTCTAGCTGGGGGCCCAGTGGGCAGAGCATCGGCCGGTGAACCCAAGGCGCCCGGGTTCGAGTCCCGTCAAAAGCACACGACGTACCTCTAAGCATCAATGGAAAAAATACCTTCGGGTGAGGATTGAAAAGTAGTAAAAATAGAAGTAACCAGCGGACTTGGAAACCCGGAGGTCAGCGTGACTGACGGAGAGGCTGCGCGGAGAAGCGAGGGGAAGAAGTGGTGGGAATGATGATGACGGAGTTCCCCAAGGTTTGCCATGGAGAGGAACCCGGTGTGGACTCAAAGGGGAGACATTTTTATTTTCTTGTTTTTGTTCTTGTTTCTTTTAAAGACAGAAGACATCACAGTGGTGCCTTTTAGAGCTTTTCCAAGTGAGCCACTGGAAGGACTGCGTTTACATCAAGACTTGTCACTCACACATTAAAAGGACGGAAACTGAAATTTCCCAAAGCAAGATTCTTGTTATGTGCAAAGCATTCTCATTTTTTTTCCGTTAACACCCACCCCCCCTAAAAAGTTGGCAAGCCCCACCGATGGTTTGAGACCTTCCTTGGAAAACAGGGGCAGGCCACCAGCCAATGGCAAACCGTGAAGCTGGCTGGGATGGGAGTGTTTACACCACGGAAATAGGCAGCTGCTACCACTTGGGGGCTCCCTCCTCACCACACCCCAGCCCCAAGCCAGATGTCAAACGTTGACCAACACACTCATGTGAATGATCCTCTCCCATATCCAGTGCCAGCACCACCACTCATGTACACAAAACCACCCGTGTACTCAACCACCCGTGTACTCAACTACCCGTGTACCCTCAACCACCCATGTACTCAACCACCTGTGTACTCAACCACCCATGTACCCTCAACCACCCATGTACTCAACCACCCGTGTACTCAATCTCTTTTTGGCCTGCCAGACCCCCCGTGTTCAGACTCACCAGGCTTACCTCTTACGTTTTACAGGATCATGTCCCAAATCTAGTCTTCCCAGGTGTGAGAATCAAGCTTCTAGAACCATGGTTTTGTCATAAAATAAAAGAACCTTGGAGACGGGAGGGATCTTCCGAGTGTGCAAATTAGATTAATTCATCCCCAACGGCTCATGCTGTCCTAGGGTGGTGGTTGATCCTCACCGCAGACATACTTGCGTTGATTTTTTTCCAGAGAGAGTGGAAGGGTGGGGGAAGAGACAGAAACATCGATGTGTGAGAGAGACGCATTGATGGGTCAGCCTGGGTGTAGCCGGCAACCGAGGCATGTGCCCTTGACCAGCATCAAACCCAAGACCCTTCGGTCCAGGCACCCACGCTCTGTCCACAGAGCCCAACCGACCAGGCCATGGAGTAGTCGCTTCTCTTTGCACCGTTCGTGTCCCGGACACGTTTCAGAAAATCCCTGGCCTCCTGATGGACCAACGGCAACGACGACCACATTGGAATCTACACAAAAGCACCCAAGAGAGAGAGAGAGCGGTTGATATCCATCTTTAATTCTGTAGCACCCAGTATCCTAGATAAAAAAAATAATCTTTATTTCTAAGAAACAGAACAACTCCTGTGGAGACGGGAGAGCAGAGGGAAGGCGGCTTCACAAGTACATCAACACCGAGTATCACAAAAACCCAGCCGTGTCAAAGCAGCGCTTTCGACGGCCGAAGACACATCCCCCGTGAGGCTTCGGGCGCATCCAAGGAACACAGCCGCTGCGCGTCACGGACAACAGGACATGGAGGCTCGGCTTCGGAAGTCGTGGGAAGCCACCCACCCCCTTTTCCGTTTCCAAAGGGGGTGGGCAGCAGTCATGCCAGGCTGCCCCTCGATGCAAACGTCGGGTTGATGTCTAGGAGGCATCTAGGCCAGTGGTCGGCAAACTCGTTAAGTCAACAGAGCCGAATATCAACAGGACAACGACTGACATTTCTCTGGAGAGCCACATTTTTTAAAACTTAAACTACGTAGGTAGGCTCATTGTGATGAACTTAATTCGGGGACTCCTAAGCTGGCCCCTGCTAAAACCTCAAGGGGCCAAAGAGCCGCATGTGGCTGGAGAGCCGCAGTTTGCCGTCCCCTGATCTAGGCTGTCCTCCTTTAGTGGTGAGTCCCTGCAGGAGCTCCCTCTAGTGGTACCACCAGGTGCAGCACCCACTCACCTGGAGCTCCTGCTTAGCATCTCTCCCAGGAGACCTGCCTCCCTGTGTTTATGGGGCGTGCACGGCGTGGGGGGGCGGGGGGGGGGGGAGAGGAGCAGGGAGGAGGAAGATCGACCCCACCCCCCAGAGCAAAGAGAACAATCTCATCGATTCTTTGGGCCCGTGTCATTGTGTCCTTAGAGTGACAAGGGTAGAAAAACCAAAGTGTTATTGCATATGAAAGACAACCCCACACCCTGACTCTGCACCTGTCGGTGAAAACAGGAAGCAGTCATTGGCCAGAGGCTGGGAGAGAGAAGGCCCTGGGCACAGAGAGGGAATCTGACTCGAGAAATGAGTGAACGGCTCCAGAATGAGGGACACAGCCCGGCCGGCGTGGCTCCGTGGCTGATCATCCGCCTAGGAACCAGGTCAGGGTTCGATTCCCCGTCAGGGCACAGGCCCGGGTGGCGGGCTCCGTCCCTAGTAGGGGGTGTGCAGGAGGCAGCCGATCCACGGTTCTCTCTCCTCATTGGTGTTTCTCTCTCATCATGGGTGTTTCTCTCTCCCTTCCTCTCTGAAATCAATAAAAAAAAAATATTATTTTTTTAATTAAGTGTTTTGTTCTACTTTTCATTTATTTTTTTTTAATATATTTTATTGATTTTTTTTTTACAGAGAGGAAGGGAGAGGGATAGAGAGCTAGAAACATCGATGAGAGAGACACATCGACCAGCTGCCTCCTGCACACCTCCCTCTGGAGGTGCGCCCGCAACCAAGGCGCACGCCCTTGACCGGAATCGAACCTGGGACCCTTCCAGTCCGCAGGCCGACGCTCTACCCACTGAGCCACACCGGCATCGGCTAAAAAAAATATATATATATTATTAAAAAAATAATAAAGGCACAGATTCACGTTGTCCGCGGCGAGGACCGGGGCCTAGGAGTTCCGGGGGTGGTCGCCGCGCGCCCGCTTGGGCCACTCCTCGTCCAGCCAGCGGCGCAGCTCGCGTTCCACGTCGGCGCGGTGGTAGAGCCGGCACAGCTCCAGGAGCTGGCCCACCGGCCGCTGGCTGTTGCGCAGCAGGAACTCCAGCGTGGGGCTCTGCGGCCGCTGCTCCAGGAAGTACAGCTCGTCGTAGCGCATGCCCCAGCGGCTGGCGAAGTTCCTCCAGTTCTTGATGGTGGGGTGCACGGGGTCCAGCTTGATCCGGATCACGTCCAGCAGGTCCTGGTCGTTGAGCAGGTCGCTGATGGTGGGCGGCCGGGGCGAGCAGGCGGAGCAGGCGCAGCCGTCCCCGCAGGACTGGGCCTCGCGGGCGGCCTTGGCCTTGACCTCGCTGGCGTCTGCGGGACAGACAGGACAGCGCACGCCCGTCAGCCGGGGGCCCGGACGAGGCCCTCGGCTCTCCAGGCCCTTCCTTCCTTTTTTATTTTTGGTGTTTTTTTAATATATTTTATTGAGTTTTTACAGAAGGGAAGAGAGGGATAAGAGCTAGAAATATTGATGAGAGAGAAACATCGACCAGCTGCCTCCTGCACACCTCCTACTGGGGATGTGCCTGCAACCAAGGTACATGCCCTTGACTGGAATCGAACCCGGGACCGTTCATTCCGCAGACCGACGCTCTATCCACTGAGCCAAACCGGTTTCGGCCACCCCCCCCCCTTTTTTTTTTAAGATGTATTTTTATTGATTTCAGAGAGGAAGGGAAAGGGAGATAGAAATATCCATGATGCCCTAACCGGTGTGGCTCAGTGGATAGAGCGTCGGCCTATGGACTGAAGGGTCCCAGGTTCGATTCCGGTCAAGGGCATGTACCTTGGTTGTGGGCACATCCCCAGTAGGAGGTGTGCAGGAGGCAGCTGGTGGATGTTTCTCTCTCACTGATGTTTCTAGCTCTCTATCCCTCTCTCTACCTTTCTGTAAAAGAACAATAAAACATTTTTTTTTTAAAGAAAGAAATATCAATGATGAAAGAGAATCATGGATCAGCTGCCTCTTGCACGCCCCCTACTGGGGATCAAGCCCACAGCAACCCGGGCCTGTGCCCTGACTGGGAATCGAACCGTGACCTCCTGGTTTCTAGGTCGATGCTCAACCCCTGAGCCATGGCCAGCCGGGCCCTTTTTTCTTTCTTTTTATATATTTTTTATTGATTTCAGAGAGGAAGGGAGAGGGAGAGGGAGAGAATCATTGATGGGCTGCCTCCTGCACTCCCCCT